CTACTGCGTCGCCCGCTTCCGCCAGGTGCGCCCAGCCCAGCCCAGCCCGGCCCGGCCCCTCGGCCCTGCAGCCGCCGCCGCCGCCTGCCCCGGGGGCTGGGACGCGGGCGCTGTGTCGATACAACGCGAGCGTGTGCGCTACGTGTGTACAGCGCGGGCGGGCGGGCGTGTGTGTGCCTACACGTACTGTGCGGGTGCACTGTGCATATGTGTACTGTGCGGGTGCACTACGTGTGCATGCTTGGGGGGGGGTGTGCGCACACCACACGTGTATTTGGTAAATTTTTGAATATGCTGCATGTGGGCACACACGCCTGTGCACTACATATACATGTGTGCACTCTGTCTGTCTATCTAGCTATTTACACCCCTCCCATGAACTACATATACGTATGTGTGCACTATATACTACATATACATGTGTGCACTGTATCTCTCTATATATCCATCTACACCCCCCTGTGAACTACATATACGTGTGCACTATCTATCTACACCCCCCCGTGAACTACATATACATGTGTGCACTATCTGTATATATCTACCTACACACACACATCCCTGTGCACGACATATACAAGTGTGCACTGTATATACACCCCCCCTCCCCCGTGCTCTACATATATGTGTGTGCACTAATATATATATAGGCACTGTATATGTACGCACAATATATGTGGGCATTATTTGTGCATGCACGCTATACATTTTTGTGCTGTGTGCACGCACTATGTGTGTATGTTACATGTGCTTATATCAGTGTTTCCCAACCTTTTATCAGCCCAAGGGCACACTTGCATTAATAAAAATTTTCTGCGGCACACCTGTTAAGGCATTCCCCATCCTCCTACCTATTGTAGCTCAGTGCCATGGCAGATTTCCACGGCACACCTGTTCATTTCTGATGGCACACTTTTGTGCCACAGCACACTGGTTGGGAAACACTGGCTTATATATATGTGCTATACCTGTATGTATATTCATGCGAGCAACACATTTAAGTGTGTGACCAACACAGTGGGAACGTATACCTTGTGTGCAAGTAGGGTGGTTTATGATGTATAAAGCTTGTTTGGAGCAAATGATTTTCTGTATGCATCTCAATGAAGCCAGAGACTTAGGTTTCTTAAGCTTTTCTTGTTTATATCTGGTGTGGTTTCATACTTTCCAACTCCTTTAATCCCTGTATCTTTTTTCATTTTGAAGTGGGACCCTATGATCACTACATTACCTGGCTTATACCTGGTGTCTGTTGGAATAGTGAAGCCTGCAGCATGGCTCTTTGGATGGTCTGGAAGCGTAGTGTGCTCGACAGGAATGCTCAGGTTTATTAACCTCCTTTTCAGTGTTGGCAACTTCTACTTGCTGTATTTGCTTTTGGGCAAGATCCATCAGAAAAACAAGGTACAGTCTAAATCCTTTACACACTTGAGCTAGGGAAGTTATGTACAATAATGCAGGCAAGTTTTAAAAATAGCCTAGGCCCTTAGTTTATGTTGTAAGGAGTCTGAGTTATATTCAGCTTTATCTAGATACAGATACTTGAATCATACTGCCAGTTGACATTGCTGTGATGATCCGTGTCTTTTTCTTTAAACACAGATTTTTCTGCTTTCCTTAAAGCTTGTTCCTGAAAAGATTGACATTTGTGTTTAACTTTATACACGTGGATAGTCCCACTGAAATTAATTCAGTGATTCTCAATTAGGGTACCGCAATGTCCTTCTACAGTGGTGCACAATAATGGAACTCTTAGTTGTGCACATACCTACACACAATTCACAACATATACCCACAGATTTCAAATAGGAATCTAGAGCATCAAAAACATTCTGAGTGCCATGGTTGTTATGAGGTCTTTGCAGTGGAAGCATTGCTTTATTATTTTTCTGTAGTCAGAGAAATGAGGGAAAGCAGAGAGCTAGCATTTTCCATCGGGTGTTTTGAATCTGAAATGGTTGAGAACCACTGTGTTAAGGGGACTGCTTATGTGCGCAAAGTTAATAGTCATAGATTTTATAATGTGAAGGGACCATCTAGTCTGAATCGCATGGGACAGGCCCGCATAAAACTCATAACTTGCAGCTGAGCAGATGTTTTTGGAAAGATATCTAAAGGAAAGTATATCACAGATCAGAAATTAAACTAACCGTTTATGGTTCAGGTTCAGTGGAGGCTATAGTAACTGTTCCTTTGTGGACTGATGCATTCTGGGGTGTGAGAGGGAGCTGAAATTAGAGGATATGAATTCAGACTGCTTGCAGATGTGGAAAACCCCCCAAAAATGGCACTTTAAACTCAGGGTGCTCCTGCACCGAGCCCAGCACATGCCCAGAAGAGGCAGCGTATTAGTTGCACCCAGCTTTCCCCATGTCTGTAGAGAGTGGGCTCTTTAGTGGGGCTTTTTTGGAGCTTTTATCTAATAGCTGATTGAATTGGCTTTAGCTAAAAGTGCCAAAAAAACAGCTGAAGCACCCGATTTCTACAGACGCTGGAGAGCTGTGTCAAAGTAGCGCACTGCTGTTTCCAGTAGAGCATGTGTTTTTTGAGTTTTTTTATCCCCCCAAACAATTGAAAATTTTGTGGTTTTTTGTTTTGTTTTTTAATAATTGAGTGCTGTCCCCTGAGCCTGGATGGTGGCAGCTTTTGTGGTTCCATTGTGAAAATGCTTAGATATTTGAGTGGTCCTATTGAGTTCACAACGTGCCTGTATGTGTATAGTGAACGCATAGTGAATTCAGCAGGACCACTCAAATATACATAGGGAAACCAAGGGAACCACTCTGCATTTTTTCAATATTTTCAGCAGCAGAACCACAATAGTCATTATATAAAGACCTGAAATATTATTGATGTTATGTTAATGTCATTTCGTTTTCAGTTCACTTTTAATTCAGCACAAATAGTGTGCAATCTTCTGTTCCTTCTCTTATTTCATTGTTTTGTACTCTGTATTAGCATAGCAGAATGCAAGGTATGTGCTGTTACAATAAAAAGTGGAATCAAAGAGCACAAGAAATGTTACTTTATGGTACTAGAACTCTAAAGAATAGACTCTTTAACTACTGGCATGTTTTGTTCTTCAGTAGAAGTAATACTACTAATTCTGTTTTCCCCTCCCTTCTCTAGGCTGTGTCTGGTTTCCAGAGAATATTATCTACATTAACTCTTGCAGTATTTCCTACCCTTTATTTTTTTACATTCCTTTATTATACAGACACAGGATCAACATTTTTTACTCTTTTTTCATATTTGATGTGCCTTTATGGTAACCATAAAACTTCAGCCCTGCTTGGGTTTTGTGGCTTTATGTTTCGTCAGACAAATATTGTGTGGACTATTTTCTGTGGGGGAAGTGTTGTTGCAGAAAGGATAAATGAAGCATGGAAGACTGAATTGTTGAAAAAGAAAGAAGAAAAGTTTTCATCTACGAAAGAATCATTTTCAGAAATAATCAGAATACTACAGTTCCTTATAAAGCACATCACGTCCTTTAAAAACCTTGTTGCACTTGTAGTTTTGATTTGGCCATATATCCTTTCAGTAAGTGCATTTTTTACTTTTGTGGTCATCAATGGAGGAATAGTTGTTGGAGACAGGAGTAATCATGAAGCCTGCTTGCATTTCCCTCAGCTGTTCTACTTTTTCTCCTTTACCCTCTTTTTTTCCTTTCCTTACTTAATAACTCCTTGTAAAATTGGAAATTTCCTTCAGTCATTACGAAAGCACCCAAGGCACTATGGCATACTAATTGCCATTTCTTTATTCCTGGTCTGGAAATTTACCTATGTTCATAAGTATCTGCTTGCAGATAACAGGCATTACACATTCTATATATGGAGAAAAATCTTTCAAAGACATGAATTTGTGAAATACGTATTAGTTCCAGTTTACATATTTGCTGGGTGGAGTTTTACTGATTCACTGAAATCAAAATCCATTTTCTGGAACTTAGTATTTTTTGTATGTTTGTTTGCTGTCACAGTTCCTCAGAAGCTGTTGGAATTCCGTTACTTCATTTTGCCATTTTTAATATATAGGCTAAATATTCCTTTTCCACCTCTTTCTCAGCAGCTTCTTGAGTTTACTTTATATGTCATTGTTAATGCAGTAACTTTACATCTCTTTTTGAACAAAACGTTCCAATGGCCAAATAGTGAAGAAATCCAGAGGTTTATGTGGTGATTTTGTATATCTTTGTATTCCTAGAAAGAACAAATTCTATGCCTTTTCTGCAATGAATAGGGTTAATAGGCCCTGAAATTAAGTGTGTTTCTCTGTGATTATTTTCTTCCTTTGGGGGTGGAGGAAGTGTAATGTGTTGGATGCTTAAATTCTTGCAACTCTATGTGAGATTGGATCTGTTCTTAATATGACCAGGTATTAACCAAATTTAAGAGGTTCTGGGATAAATAAAAACATCATCAGGAAAAATTCCAAGGTAAAACCAAATATTCTACAAATACTGTGAAATGAGAGAGATGTTTACAGGCATATGTCATTTTAATACTGTTATTTTTTAGTAAATATGTATACAGCTCACCCTTCCAAGGACTTGCCAAAGCAAAAAGGGTCTGCTCCTAACCCCAAGCAAAAAGGTAATGCACAACAGTACTTGGAAAATGTTGAAGTAGAGATAAAATATTTATGACCACAGGAATGGAAGGGAACACTTGGGTCATTGAACCTGCTGTAGGCACCTGTGTAATGCATGTTAATCCAGAAGGGTTTGGATAGTGGAACGCATACCGTAAGCATATTGAGGCTTCAAAGGAGAGGGGATAAATGGGGAAGAAACCTGCACTAGGAAAAGCCATTACAATAACCTTACCTAATCTTGTATACAAGTTGCAGGGTTCTTTATTGCCTAGACCAGTAGTTCTCAATTGGGGTGCTGCAACAAAAACTTTTTTACTGTCCGAGTCCCCAGGGTCTGGAATAGATTCCCTACAGAGGTGGTGCAGGCACCTACTCTGGATTCCTTTAAGAAACACTTGGATGCCTATCTTGTTGGGATTATTTGACCCCTGCTGACTGCCTGCTCTTTGGGCAGGAGGCTGGACCTGATGATTTTGTGAGGTCCCTTCCAGCCCTAATGTCTATGAAATCTATGAAGAACCAGCCAGGGTCCTGCTATGTCAGTACCACTTCTACTGTGGTTTCCACACACCTGTTTTCAGGAGGCTTATTAGAGCTTAAATAAGAAGTGACTGCAGGAGAAACTCATGATCTACTGTCATGCCAGATCATGTGCAGTCAGGCCTGGGGACACTTGGGGATTGAGGTGTCACCCAGGGTCAGGAGGAGTGAGCAAGGCAGGTCAGGAAGCCAAGAGATCAAGCAGAAAGTGGAGTTGGAGAGCAAGCCGCAGAGAATGGCAAAGGAGTGTGGGATCAGGTTGAGCCCTGTTGCCTAATCACTTCCTGTTCCTGTGCAGCTGCCCTGCGGTAATTGGAAAGAGGTTCAGCCAAAGCAAGAGGTAAAGAGAGGAACACCGCTAAGACTTGGGGACAGAAATTACACACAAACTAGTATAAGTGATTGGAAACTGGTTCAAATGTGTAACACAACAGAAGTCCACTGTGTATAAACTGCACTCAAAATGGCCAAAACTGGTTTAAGATAAACCTGGATGGATGCAGTATCAGACTTAACTGATTTAGGTTAAATTGGTTTATTGAATTTCTGTCCCAGGTCCCCTCCAGCTTTAAGTAAACTCACAGTCCCCCAGGATGCTTTGTACCTCCCCTGCAAAACCACCTCTTGCAAGGTGGATGTGTTAGCCTTGGCTCAAGCTGTCTGCTCCAGCTGAGTAAGGAGGTGTGCTCTAGTGTCTCCTGGCTTCTGGCCTGGGCCACTGCAGGCATGTGGCTGCATTTCTGGAATCAAAGGTGAACATCTGTTCACTTGCCTATTGGTTCAATCTCCAGACTAACCTTTGAAGAGTGAATCAATTCAGCGTCAGGCTTTTTGACTGCCTATACTTAGCCTAGCTGATTGGTTTAACTTCTTCATATCTGTATTGACAAGATAGGTCCATCATTTGCTGAAGCAAGGATCCAGGTTTTCAGTTCACCATGGAAAAATGTGATAAAACCCAGACCTTTTTCATTTTAAGGAGAAAAGTGTGGGAAATGGTGGGTTTCTGCTTGCAGCCTGGCAGAATTCCAGCCTGCAAGGGGCTGAGGGGAGTGGGAGAAGGGTGATCAGCAGGAGGCACCATGTGCATGTGCGCATGTACACATGCACATGTCCACCAGGCAGCCTGGAGAGCAGCTCCCCGCTTTTAAATCTGCTTGGGGGGGTAGGAGGAATTGAGGCTACCAGAGGGAGGGGGGAGTTGGGTGGGGTTGGGGCTGAGGCAGCTGCCAAGCTGGAGTGGTGCACAGGGCTTGGGACCTGGAGCTGGAATCTGTGATCTCAGGTCCCAGACAGGGAGCAGGACAGGGTTGCAGATGGCTTGTATGGGGAGGGAGGGCAGCTCCTCATTACTGTGCACACTTCCAAAGAGGGCATGGGGGGCACAGCCACAGCTGGACCTGCATCAAGGTGAGTGAAGGGGCAAGGGGAGCTCTTGATTTTTGATGATAAAAATCCCAAAATCAGACACCAAAATGTACAGGTATTTAGAAGTTATTATAGTGATTGAGGCAGTGGTAGGCTTCAAAATTGCTTTACAATTGTAAATATATCAATAAAATATTGTGTTCAACTGATACCTCTATGTATAGTGGTGTTTCATTTTAATCATGCAAAAATGTGCATTTTGGGTTTTTAAAACCAGAGAATTTGTGATTTGCATGCCTTTTTAATCAGAATTCGCATTTTTTTTTAAACCGAGAAAACCAGGATCCCTGTTGTTAAGAATTCATGGGAAATTTAAAAAATATTGATAAATTGTCTTGTAATGAGTCTGTTGCTGTGCAGGGATATATGTGGGAAGTGGAGGGCCAGCTGGGCCTGGCCAGTGTCTGTGTGATAGGGAGTGGATGGAGGGTTAGGCCCTGCTGGAGGCTTCAGGCCA